TATATGAGTGTCACAGCAAAGGGTCTGAATACTTATGACCATGTGATATTTCAGTTTTTCTTTTTTAATAAATCTGCAAAAATGTCAAAAATTCTGTGTTTTTCTGTCAATATGGGGTGCTGTGTGTACAATAATGAGGAAAAAAATGAACTTAAATGATTTTAGCATATGGCTGCAATATAACAAAGAGTGAAAAATTTAAGGGGGTCTGAATACTTTCCGTACTCACTGTATCAACAGTCTTACTACTATTATCATACAACAACATATTCTGACCTACACTGTTTGTACAGCAGTGCACAACCTTATTAGGCAAGGCAAGGCAACTTTATTTATATAGCACAGTTCATACACAGAGGCAAGTCAAAATTTTACAGAAAAAGGAAAAACAGTAACAGCATTAAAAACAATAATCATTAAAACCAGAATAACATTGTTTAAAACATTAGGGGTTGTTTGTATGGGCTGAATCGGGGAATACTAGATAGGTTACACAAAAACAATTCTTAATACATAAGTATATTCTGTCTTTAACCCCTGCATACCTAATTTGTAATGTATGACTTGCATAGTAAACAGATCACCACTAGATGGCAAACTTTTATCATAATAGTGTAAAATGTTCTCAAGTGAGTGTTACTGCTTTATCACAGGCTCTCTCACATCATATCTTCAGCTGGTTTGCTTTGCATTTGAAGTAAGCATGGCATTTAATTGTTGTATCATTATAATATTAATATTCCTTCTAGTGCAACAGACAATACTAAATGGTGCAAAGCAGAATCATCTTTACCACAAGGTATTCTGTCTCCCCTCTTCCATTACTCTTTTGCAGTTTTTGCAGTTTGACAGCAACATTATGTCTTTGTCAGGATTTATAGTCACAAATTCTAACAGCTTCTGCAGTTTTAGAAGTAACAGTACACTGTTTTTGTCCTCAATGACCCTGTCTGTTGCAGTCCCTTGTTGCTCCACCACTTATCCCCGCCTCCTCCAACTCTCACACTGATCCTTACCCCACCTCATCTCTCTCTTGGCTGAGACTAGCTGGCTGGCACCAATATCAATTTGTTCTGTCAGGATGCCTGCAAAAAACAGCTTACGTCACAGTCATTACTGGCTCTATAAAAGCTAGAGTAATGCAGATTCACTGTGCAGTCAACCCAGCTACTTTTCAAGACACAGAGCAGCCTCTCAAGTCATGGCTTCTACTGGTTTTGACCCTTACTTCCCTTCTACCTACAAGAGAAGGGTCATTTTGCGCAATGCAGGATATGGAGCTGGTGGAGGAATAGGATCTAGGTCTGCCTTCTCCAGCCACTCTGCCCCAATACCTGCCTATGCATTCTCACGTAGAAGTTATCCAACACACACCCGAGCTACTTCCAGCTACTCCTCCGTGCTTTCTGCTCCAGTGTCTGCAGCTGCCACTGAGCTACGCCTTGACCAAGCAGCCCAGGTTAGCACTGAGTTCAAAACGTTAAGGACCCAGGAGAAGGCTCAGCTGCAGGATCTGAATGACCGTTTTGCAAGCTTCATTGACCGGGTCCATGAGCTGGAGCAGCAGAACAAGTTGCTGGAGACTGAACTTCTGCTGCTCAGGCAGAGGCAGGCAGAACCATCCAACCTTCAGGCCCTGTATGAGCATGAGATCCGGCAGCTCCGCGCTGCTGTTGAAGAGGCCCGCCATGAGAAGCAAGCAGCCCAGAACCACAGGGATGAGATGGATGACGTGCTAAGAAACCTGCAAAAACGCTATGAGGATGAAGTGCTTGTCAGAGCAGAAGCAGAGGGCAGGCTCATTGATACCAGAAAGGGAGCAGATGAAGCTGCACTGGGCCAGGCTGAGCTTGAGAAAAGAGTTAGGATCCTGCTGGATGAGCTAGCCTTCCTGAAGTCCCTTTGTGAGAGTGAAATTGCAGAGCTGCAGGCCCAAATACAGTATAGTGCAGAGGTGTCAGTGGAAATGGAGGTTGCCAAACCTGACCTATCTGCTGCTCTCCGTGACATCCGAGCACAGTACGAGAACCTGGCACAACGTAACCTTCAGTCAGCTGAAGAATGGTTCTGCAACAAGATGAATGTGATGACAGCAGGCACTGCACTCAACACTGAGAGTGCAAAAAATATCAAAGATGAGGCAGGAGAATATCGCCGGCTCCTCAAAGCCAAGATGTTGGACATTGATGCCTTCCGTGACATGAACCAAGCTTTGGAAAACCAACTACAGGAGATGGAGGACAAACAAAGTGCTGAGATCTCTGCACTGCAGGTCAGGAATAGAAAGATATTGAAATAAAGAAACAGAACAGCAAATATTAACTTCTTTCTTTGATAAAATAATTTTAAAGTCACTAAAAATGATGAATCAATAAATATCTACAATTTTCAGACTGCTAGTCTAGCCAGTTATTGAGCATGCTAATGATACCCCAAACTTTAGCTGAGAAATAATTTGCATCCACTTATAACATGCCTCTAAAATGTCACTCTGTCTTTTATACAGGACACAATAGGTCAACTGGAGGAGGAGTTGAGGGCAAACAAAAATGACATGGCTCGCTACTTGAAAGATTATCAGGACCTCTTGAATGTGAAGATGGCCTTAGATATTGAAATTGCAGCCTACAGGTCAGTAGTCTAATCAATAAAGGTTCGATTTTTTTCTGTGTTTGGCCTGTTGTGTTATAATTTAAATTAATGCCACCAACAAAAGGTTCAGTATATTTGTTTGTGTGTGTCTTATTCTGTTAGGAAGCTTCTTGAGGGAGAAGAGAGTCGTTTAAATGTGGTTAGGCCAGGTTCTGTCAGTGTTTACTCCCAAGCCATGTACACTGCTCCGCCCTATGGAAGAACACAGGTCTCCATGCAGTCTCAGCTGAGCGCTGCAGCACCGTACCTGCTGAGCTCTCGCTTGTATGCTCCATCACTCTCCACTGAGGAGACAATATCCGCAAGCCAAGCACAACAGGCAGAGGCCAGCCCTCCTCAAGAGGAGGGAGAGCAGGTGGAAGAGGAAGAAGAGGAGGATCAGGGAGAAGAGGAGGAGGATGAAGAGGAGCAGGGAGGAGAGAAGGAGGAGGAACAAGTAGAAGAGGGGGAGGGAGAGGAGAAGGAAGAGGTGGAAGAAACTGAGGGGGAAAAACAAGAAGAGGGAGATGAAGAAGCAGATGGAGGAGGTTAGTGTGGTCATTTTGTCCAATGGATATGTGCATGTGAAGTAGTACATTTTAACTTCTAATTTTTAACTTTTATCCCTCCCCACATGATTTTGGAAATTAAGAGGGTGAAGCAGAAGCTGGAGAAAAAGAAGGTGAGGATGAAGAAGAGAGCCAACCTCAAGAAGAGGACGATGAAGAGGGTGAAAAGGGGGAGGAGAAAAAAGCTGATGAAGAAGAGGAAGGAGAGGCAGAAAAGAAAACTGGAAAAACATCAGATAAAACTGTTTAAATTTACATGCTTTGAAAATACCTGCTAGCTTGTAGCTAAAGGATCTGCAATGCTCTATACACAGAGATGTTTGTCAAACTAATGAAAATCTCTTGAAATCAGAAGTGCTGGTGAACTTATCCTTGTATGATCACTGTGACTCATAGCATGTACATACATGTGCATGCTGTAACCGTAAAGAAATTAAAAGATTAAAAAGCTGCTCAAGTATTTAACAAAGACAGGATATGTTCGGTGTCGAAATTCTGGTTTGTGGATATTTGTTTGCAAACACCCATGTTCTTTACTGCCACCAAAACATGCCTATATGACCGTGTGTATGTGCAAAATGCCTTACTTCAAGTCCTCACTGGGTGCTTTAAGTCTATGACATGCTGCATTGAACTCCAATAAAGCCTTGAAGCCTTGTTAACCCAGAGCTGGCTCCAGGCTTTTCATTTGTACTTATCATTAGGAACACTTGTGATGAATTGTCAAATCAAATAACAAAATAATGTTCAGTGTCCACACTCTGTGACTCACTTTCATAAGCAAGTGTAGAAATGTTTCCTTGTTAATAGCCTGGGGCTCCTTTTTCATTTAGGGTTTAAAACAAAAGGTTTCTCTCTTACCAGAATATTAAAGAAGGTTAATAGAAAAAAGTACATAGATGGCAGCCAAAGAGCCCCTGGTTCTCTCCATACTGACAAATCAGCCCACTACTGAACGGAAGAGAAGGGCTGTAGCAAGTCAGCAAGTTTGGATTACTATATGACTTTTCAGCAAAAAATACCAAGCCAGTATTGTTTTTTTTTTAAATCACAGTATGTCAGAGTAATAAGCTTCACATTGTCAACATAAGCATACAATAAAGTTTCATCAGTCTTCTGTTGACTAGATTAAATCATGTCTAGTTTAAAATGTGAATTACAGTGGCATTTTAGTCTTTACTACAAGTCAGCAGGTTGTCTCTATCCTGATGTGCCTACGAACTCTGTGTGATCAGTGAGCTGACGCCGATGTTTTTCCTGCTGCCTCAACCCCATTCACATCACTGTCCATAAATCAGGGTGCGCTGAAACCTTTATGACTGAGCCAGTCTACTGCACCAAAGAATCTGGCAAAGTCTCAACTTATGCAGGACGGGAAGAAAGAGAGGAAGGGAGAGCGCAATTTCATTATTTCATTAAGGAGAGAGAGACTTTGAGGAGAAAGAAATTTCTCACTGCACTAAACCTTGACAGAGGACAGACTGTTTCCTACCCAGAAAAGAGCTGGAGAGACCAGGGACTTCCTTTAGGCATCTGCAGAGATGAAATCCCTATCACGCAAATGAACCCATAACACACACACTCTGCTTTCTCTTCTCAGACACACTTACACAAGCACACCCAAGAGTCGATGTGGAGTGGGAGCTTTTGCTTGATGCATCTGATGCTTTGAAATAATGCATCGTCTAAGTGACATAAGATATATAACATTTAGACATAACTCCACTGTGTAACCAACTTGTGTAACGTGTCCTAATTTTGCATATGTCAAGGCAATGCCCCAAACCATATGCAATCTCCTTCTCTTCTCCCTCCCCAGCCTCTGTATCCTCAAGTCACACCCCGCCCTGAGCTACATTATCCCCCTCCCTCTGTTGCTCTTAGCTGCTACAGTAAGACTAGATCCAGCACTCAATTTAATCATTAGAAATTCTACTTTGCTGTGAATTTGTCTTCTCTTACACACATCTCTCAGAAAGAGCAATATTGTAAATGTATTCTTATTGATTAAACGTGCACTAATGATATGTTATTGGCTAGACTTTAATATACACACACACTGCCTGCAGGGAGAATGCTGAAGCAGTGATAGAGCTCTCACAATAAATACTGGAAACTAGCAGCAGGATGTGTAGATACTCCCTCAGGTACTATTATGTATCACTCGCATACAGCTTGCAGGGCTGTGTGTGTATGGGAGTGCGTGTTTGTGAGCCCCTGGCGCAGTGGGTAACCGATCTCCTCCCTGTAAATGTAGCATATCAAAGGAAAGCTGTATTATTTTTTATCGCATTTCATCTTTCATATATTGAGTTTCGCCCCGTTTCATCTGTCACATTGGAGCTGTGGGTGGACTGGTATATAAATCTTGTAACGCTCTCCTTCTTGTGGGCACGCGCTGTGTCAGAGGGAAGGAGGTCCATCACTGAAGCCCAGTGAGAGCTCCCAGACATACCGATCGTTTGATGAAAAACTAAGAGCTGAGAGTGCAGCAGGAGACGTCCGCAGCACCTGGGTTTCCTGTAAGAAGGTAAAACGATCAAGTGTCCAGTTACCCCAATATAGATTCAGCTGTTTTCACTTCAGATGTCAATAGCACACTAATTGTGTCACTGTACTTTATACTTGATAAATTAAATTATAACACCTGAATATGACAATGATGCCGCAACTAACAAAAACAAAAGATTTATCAATGGCTTATTTATCTCTAACATTTAGTAACAGGCTCCAGAATCATAAAACACAGACTGCATAAATAAAAGAATGGCAGCTTTCCATTTCAGCAAACACATATTGTGTTTCAGGAGGACAGAGACTGCAGCTACACACTGCTTTAGACTCAGTGTCTATAGCAACACTGATAATCCTTAAGTTTATAACCAGGTAGACGGCCAGGTGAAATGCTGCACTTTAGTGTACTCAGAAGTACCTGAAACAGAATAGCATGACCACCACTGATGGAACTGATTCAAAACCAGAGTTAATGCTGTCCGTGTCTTTGGACAGACAGTACGTTCATGAGAAGCATTTCTCATCATGATTATGTTTTTTAATTTTAATTGTAGGTGGGTGTGTGCTGTCTAGTCAGACTGCTCAGGCTCCGGTCCAGACAGTGAGGGTGGAAACACTGCAGTCTCCATTTCTGGTTGTCACACGTCCATGCTTAATCACCACAAAGAAAAGGAAGTGGCTCCCTCTGCTGATCTGAGAGAATCACCTAATTAAAAGCCTCTGTTGAACAAGCCTTTACATTGGCCTGGAAGACAGCAGACTGTTTCATCTTAAAGATGGGGCACTCTCACTCTAAAAACAGACACTAGACACTCACTTCTCCTAGTGTACATACAGCTGCAGTTTTCTGATGACCTCATGTACCCACTACAAAGGATGCCTCACTGAGTCAGATGGAGACTAATGGGGATGCCTCTGTGCACATCCTTTCTCATGCATCACAACCTGGAAATGAGATGTTAGATAAGATATATATATATAGCAGATATAAATAACACTGTTTATTAGGCCAGTCTGTATGTTTTTAACACAAAAGATATATCACAGGTACAGGAATTCATGAAGGTGTCAATATTAATACAGAAAACTGCTGACAGCTTGCATCACTACACAGTGACCAGAGTGACACACATACAGGACCTGACACCATGAAGCAAGTTTTTATAAAACATACTGTAAAAGTAGAAAAGTTTAAACATGACTTACTGCCTCAAAGTCAATTGCAAATCAACTTCTGCCCTAGGCTGTTGAGCCCTTCTGCACAGATAGTGCATTGACTTGTGTCAGCATGGCATTCCAGGACCGAGCTACGACTTGATTCTGCTGCCAAACAGACAGGTGAGTGCTAAGGCCCAGTTTGCCTCTGGCACCCTTCAGCCCTGGCAGTGAACCCATAAATCCATCAGGCCTTTTGTCTGCTTTTGTCACAGGAACTGAACACTTCAGTGGGCGGCGTGACCAGTATTTAGGACCTTGCCATTCGAAAGTTTCTGAAGCATTGTACAGTTCTTGCATCATGAAAATCACAGTTCCCTGAGTTTAGTAATGTCAGCCACTGAGGTTTCAGTTATATATTTCATATATATACTCAGTATGCTTTATCTTTGTGTGGCCCATAAATATAAGCACACACATACACAAGCACATGCGCTCAAGGATGTATGCACATAAACATAAATCAAATGCCCTGGAGTGAAGTGGATGGTAGACAGGGAGCTTATTTATTATCACTTCTACTGTCTGTCACGCTAAATGTTCATTCAGAATGTATCCTTCTGGTAACAGTCTGAGAAGCCCTTAGGCAAACTAAACAGAAAGGTTACCCATTTTCAGGAGGCTGGCTTCTATAATAACTGCAGCCAACCTCACCTTACCTTACCTCACACATCTGCATATGGTTGAATGTCTTTGTTTTATCAGTGATACTAAAATGTTGGCCCTACCCAAGGGCTTTTATAGAGAGATGTCTGGGACATAACACAACCAGATCAGAATTAGAAGATGAGGGGAGTGGGGATTTCCTGTGAAGACTCAGACTGTCTTCTTCTACTACTAATGGAGCATTCACCTCCCAGTGAACTCTGAAGTTCAGCTCTGCTTTTCAAGCTGTTACCTGCGGTAATGAAAGGCAGGCGCGTGCACACACACACACACACACATGCCCAGACCACCTGAATTTAATAATTTCTTTTTAATGCTTCTATGAGGGAAGATTTAGGCAATAGAGTCACACAGAACTAGATATTTAATATACCATGCCACAACTAAATGCAACACAATGGTCTACTGTGTGCAATAGCACAAATCAGTCAGGTGATGGCAATATTGTATTTCCTTTTTATTTA